CAAAACTCCCAAGCATTTCTCCGAGGGTGAACATAAGGTCCCTAGATGAAACAAGGTAGCGTCACTCATTGTTCTCGAGCCGTCCTCCTCACTCTCTCGATTACTCCTCTTTTTCTCTGCCATCCAAGGTCTGTGATAGGTGAATTCGTTGCACGTGACGGTATTAGTGGATGGTGGTGACCTATTTATTATAAGCAAAAGGTTCAAAACGAGTGCGCATGTGCATATGGTTCCAGTTGGATCTTGCCGCGACGAAAGACGAGGTCGTATCCTAACAGTCCCTAGACTAGGGACCTTATCGTATCCAAGACATCAGCTGTAGAAGAGAAGCGTTCCACTTGGCGCGAAGTCGCTCGGCCAAGCATGCTTCGCAAAGGATCTTGAGTACGTTAAGTACTTGCCAATTTTTGAACAATGCCGGGTTGTTGTGCTGTAGGCTGCAGCAACAAAACAAAAGATGGTTTCTCGCTCTACAACATACCTCGTGGCATACGGAATAGTGCACGCCGTGAAGTGTGGCTACAAAACATTTCACGCGAGGACTTCCGTGCAACGCCGTCGACGCGGCTTTGCGAGGTGAGTTGATTTATCGGCTTTTGTTGAAACGCTACACAACGCGCGTCTAACGCGCGTCTAGTACGTGACCTTCGTTACAACTATTTGTGGCGTATGCATGTATGGTTAATACAGCTTAAATGACTGCACTTTCAGGAGCATTTCACGCCAGACCAGGTTTGAGCCACTTGCTCTTGAACGCGGCGTAAAGAAGCTTAGGACGCGACGCTGTGCCACGCTTTTATAGCCTTCCCGGCAGCGAAGGCGCACGAAAAGACCTCTGCTTTCAGGTATGTCATTGCGCTGTTTGTATTACTCGTGCTGCATTATCTGAATAATCGCACTGCTCGATATCTTGTAGGAGCATTACACGTTTAGTTTTTAGGTAGACAAACAAACATAGCAACTTGAACATAGCTACTGAAAGAGATTGTCGGGCTGTACGCGACCAATATTTGGTTCCTGCGGTAAGCACGGGATGACTACACTGAAAGGCGCAGTGGAGTAAAAATGCATCCACAGCTGATCTCGCTTTCACGCGATGCTGCAAGATTGCTAGTTTGCACTGCCAGCATACCATCCCAACCCCCCCTCCCCTACCCCACTTTATTTGTGAGTGCTAACGCCGGCACAGGGAACGTTTTTGTCTTCACGTTTGAATTAAGAGACATTCTGCATTCGTAAGAAATCGATAGAACTGTGAAAAAATCAACATGTACGGAGAGAGAGAAATTCAGTTTTAACGTATTTATGTCATCAATACGTTACAAGGATCACTTGCAAGAGCTAATCATTTTGTTCAAAATAACCGGTGTATTTCTTACGGACTCGCATGCATTAATAGAGAGTTTTAGTACTGCGTACGCTGCGTACGTGGCGGCGTTGCGTACGTAAGGACGCCCCGTTCTGCGTAGTGCGCATGCACAGACCGCAACGCGCACGTATCGCGTTACGTACGCTAGCCGCTACGTACGCACGCATGAGATGCGTGCGTGCGTACGTACGAGCTGATCGCGCCACTCTCGAACAAGTTCGCGACAGCGCGAGACTTCGTTTGCAAAAATGGCGGCATCGAGGCAAGCACCGACCGGCTCTGTGGCTTAAAATATGGCCATAATCTGCTATTACACTGGATTGCTCACATTGGCTGTCAACAACACGTGCTTCTATTTTGATCTACTAGATGACGCAACACGCTTCACGCTCGTTACGTAGGCGGGTACTACGGCGCACTAAAAGCCGCTTAGTGGAAAACGATGCACGTACGCAAAGCGCTTGCGTGATGCGTACGTAGCACCATTTCGCAGTACTAAAACTCTCTAATGAGGGAAAGTCGCATGCTTCATGCGTTACGCATAATTTTACAATATAACTTTCTGGGGCTGCAGCAAAGAGACTCATTAAAGATGTACGCACGTATGAAGCACACCGCATGATCAGTTGCGTTAATGTTGTCATGTGTAAGTGACGACAGGGGTTAGCGACCGCATCGAAGCTTTGTGAGCTGCTGAGACTACTGCGGTGCGTGGGGCACCTGGCCCTCCGGTTTGGTTGTTTTGTGCATTGCCCGTTGGGGCCATCGAGTTATTGAGTGCTTCGGGACGTCCCCTAATCGAAAACTGATTGTCTTAAGCTGAAGCCACCATTGCTGAAATGACGCATTACGGATTCGGAGTTTCGAAATGACAGCCGCTTGGCAGCAAAACATCATTTAAGGGTTGTGCGCTCCTTGCTACTGCAAACAGTTGAAAATGCAGTCATTTCTCCTCTGTGTCTCTCTTTTTGTTGGTCCGTTTATAGCGCTTCATTTCACAAGTTAGAAAGGCATTTTGGTGCACAAATAAAACACATGTACGCATTGTTGCATGCAATCCACGTGGTAGCAGTTGGAGGGCATGCAACAAAATCCAATGCATTTTGTTTTCCTTTATGTGCATGTTTAAATCTTGCAGCAATATTACGTGTCACTGTTGCATGAACTTCAACTGCCCTGCCTTAATTTGCGCAGCTGAACATGGACTCTGGTTTGTGCAATCGGTGCGCCCTTTCGATATTTGTAGCGACAAATGTTACGTGCACACAGTAAAAAGGAATGTGTCCATTGATTGTGATTACGTGTACATGAAAGCATACGCGTAAGACTCGAAGCAATGTTGTGTCTCACGTATTCATTCAGGCATCCCATCAGTGTGGCATACACGCTAGTTTTGTGTTCAGATGCCGGAGTTGAGGAACTGTGTGACAATAAACATTGAAACACTAATACAATGAGTGCAGTGAATTGCTAGGTTGGCGTATAAGGAGACTTCAAAGTTTGTTAACAATGCGTAGACTTCTTTGGAGCAGTTTAAGTGAAAGCAGCTGCTAGAATGGTTGAATAAAACGGCATTTCAATCAATTGTACTACCCTTGTCTCGTTTGATTTTATAGTGTCTGCTCATTTATGAACGACATTTTCAGGAAATGGCATGAGCATTGACAGCAGCTCAATAGGACATGACATGCTACTTTCACGGATCTCATGAGAGTGATACTCAAGGTACGATTGCGGTGACATTCATGGTGTAGACATGGAAGTAATGCTTGTAATTAACCGAGATGGGTGGCTTCTATCTTGTAGAAATGTCCCCAGAGGATACGCCCCACCTTTCAATTGAAGCAGAAGTGGTTGGCCAAGGTACTCTGGCACATTGTGCAACAGAGTTCTGCGTGCAGTATACCAAGTAAGCAGGTGTATGTTATTGCATCATGCACGTAACTATTTTTTTTCTTTTAGTGGAGAAAACAATTTTTGAAGTTTAGTCCCACTATTGCACAATTTTACTACGGGGCTATAGAAACCAACTCAATTTGCTGCATAAAAAAAGAGTTGTGTACTCGCACTACATGGTTTTAAGTTTTTTTATTATCACTTTATTTTGTATGTTCGTAAATGCATCATCCTAGTGGAAGTATCTCCTCATGACCATGAAATTGGCTTGCGTAGTTCCACAACGAAAAAGAAAAAACACTGCAGTGATTGTGCGCATGCACAGCTGGGCCACTTGGAGTTCGTTGCTACACACATAATGGTTGTAAACAAAGAATACTGAAAAAGGTAGACCTGCTTAAACTGTATCGGCTGCTAGTACTTTATTGTAATTTCACTGTACAGCTAAGCTGACGCACCGTTGTCTTTTGAAGCAGACCTAAGTTATGCAACTTACTCGCATTTATGATACATGTGATGCACTTGCAGTGCTATTTAAGGAAGCGCATTCACACTGCATGTGCTTAGGTGAAGCGTCAGGTATTTTGAAGCTTCCAATTACTTGAAACTCGTAACGCTGCAGTTTATGCGCAGGGAATTTGTTTACGTTTTGTTGCGAAAATAAAATTTATTCATTCCCGTGATTGTCTTTAGCTATCACTGTCCATATGAAGCTACAGATGTATACACGCTTCACGAATTCCATGACGGCGTGGAACTGAATGGAAGAGCTTTTTTAAAAAAATGGCTCGAAGCTTGCACTAATATACGCAATCTCGATACACAGCTAAGCTGATCGGCGCCAAGCTTATTTATTGCTGTATAAAGACACAGCATTTGCTCTAAGGGTGCTTGAATTTCGCTGCAGCGATGTTGAACTTTTGCTTGAACTTGGCTTGGTGGACCCCAGTATATAACTCTTTCGTGTTAAAAAAGCAATAATATGTATTGTTAAGCTGCGAACTCGCTCCAGGGGTCTGAAACATGCTGACTGCAGCCTGCAGAGGACTGTCTTCGTCCCGTATTTCTTTTTTTTTTCATTTTCTTAATAAGTGTAATCATGAGCTCCACAGACATGGCCGGCCTCAAGCATTCTTTTCGTGACGCAGTCCATTAGGCCATCACACGTTGAAACATGGTCGTGGAACAAAAACTCTTCATTCAAGAATTGGCGTCGATTTCAGTCATTACGAAGATAGGTATCGTTATTTCTCGAACCCTGACTCTAAATACCCTTCGTAAATTAGACACATATGTGATATGGGGAAACCGCTCTTTCAAAAGGCAACTATAGCTGTCATATTGTTCAAACACACCCGCCGATCCCCTCGCCCACTAGTTCACACTGCGCCTGCCCTTGCAGTACTCAATGTAGTGTCTTCAGCTCGCTGGCTGAGGTGAGTTTGAGACCCCTGCTTTACACAAACGCCTTTCCTCAATATGTAGACTAAACTAGGTATTGCAACGAGATGCAATACTCTGGCCATAAATTATTTTCGTAAACAACACTCCGACATTACTCTCCCAATTTCGGAAGGATTCCCACGCGATAAAAAAAAGAGATTTCCTCCAAGAGAATCTAGCAGCAGACTGTTTTCAGTTTAACTGATCTGTACTATTTTTTAAATACTTTTGAGATGGTAGCTGCAATGACTTGGACGTTTCACGTAGAATAACCCAGATGTCATTGTTTTTTATTTAAGTATACATCCTTTACTTGCAGGTACAGCCTCACATGCAGCTCTGTTGGCCAGAATAAACGCTCTGGAACGACAGCTGACTATTGCGAAGGCTAAGGCGAGGGTGAAAGAGCGGGAGCACAAGAAACTTATGCTTCACCTGTCTTCGTACATAAATGAAGACCAGTTCACCAGCTTGCATCGTTCACCAAGAGGCACAGTGTGGTCCAAGGAAACATTGACCAAAGCACTGAAGATTCGCCTATCCTGCGGCTCGAGGGGCTATGATATGGTCAAGGAGCTCGGCCAGCCATTGCCTTCACAGCGTACACTTCAACGTCACATCGAGCACTGCAAGTTTCGTCCAGGGCTGCTGGTGGACATTATGGACTCTCTCGCTGTTAAGGTAATCGTAACGAATTTGTCCATTTTGCAGCACTATGGAAGTTCCGATATTTTAAATTTTTGTTTGTATTATCTGTACTTATGCTGGCATGCCTCATAATACAATCACGGTGTTCCCGAAAAATGGTTAGCACTTCATGGTTGCCTGAATTGAAGTTAGATAGCATAGAGTTCTCATTTTAGCTGCAACCCATCTAATAACAACCTAGGCCTTGCAGGACACTACAATACAATCTAAGCCATCAAACATCCATTTGATAGTTGCGTGATCATGACAGGATGCAAGAGAGTTTTGTGATAGGAAGCTTATAGTTTATAGTGTAAGGTAGCGCGAGATATTGGCCAGATAAAGTGTGTTGTTATATAAAATAACGAAAGTGTTCATTGCACGTTCTGGTTGTGACAAGCGTACCGAATCGGTGCGCTGCGCCAAAACCACGAATCATCACTGATTGACTGAACATGCATATTCCTGACGACGCTTTTGCGCATTGCAAGCTCTCAGTGGTATCTTTCGACGGCTCATGTGTTTGTGTCATGATAAGCAGTTATTTCATTACATTGGTCGACCTCATTCAAATGAATGCTTGGTTGGGCAGTGCTTCTATGGAGGTGACCTTAACGTTAACGGAATGATTACCTTTGACTGTGGGGCTGTTTACGTTATGGCACCTTATTGCAGCCTACTTGTGCGACGTAATGTACTTAAACACTAACACTTCTTTTATTTCCTGCCTAACCTTTCATGTTAGTTATTCGTATTTCCAATAATGCGCAGGTCAACTGCATGACAGAGTACGAGCGCCATGCGTGCCTCATGATGGATGAGATGCAGATCACCCCAAGCCTCATATATGATCCTTCGGCTGACGCAGTACTGGGCAGACCTACGATTCCCTTGGCAGATGGCAGCCTCCCTGCAGACACCTTGGCTACCCATGGCCTCGTATTTATGCTGGGTGGTGTTACTACCAGGTGGAAGCAGGTCATTAGGGTATCATTTGACTGGAAATTGTTTTCATGCACTCTCTGTCAAGCAAGAACTCTTGAAAATGATAAGAGCATGTGAAGACATTGGCCTTAAAATAGATGCTGTTGTTTCAGATATGGGTGGTAGCAATCAGGCTCTATGGAGGTTATTTCTTGTCAGAGTCGGCAAGCACATTCGGCCAAATTGCAGTGCTACACACCCCTGCGATTCGAATCGGAAGCTATGGTTTATAGCAGATGCCCCTCACCTGTTGAAAAATCTGCGCAATCACCTCACCAGGGTCCAAACTTTGTATCTTCCTGATGACATTGTTGTAAAAGCTGGTCTCTCCACAAATGCGGTTCTCATTGAACCAATAAAAAACTCATTGAAATTGACAGTAAAGGAGACTTCAAATTGGCTCCGCACCTAAAAAAAACTTGTGTTGACCCTGGTCATTACGAAAAAATGAAGGTGGGCCCTGCTTACAGTCTTTTCAATGTGGATACTGGGGCTGCACTGCGCATCCTTGTTGAGAAGGGCATGCTAGAGAAGTCCGCGCTTGCCACTGCTTGGTTTATTGAAACTGTGGCCAAGTGGTTCCGCATCATGACATCACGAACAACCAAACTTGCCTTGAGTAAAGTTATTGAGACAGAGAGGCAGGCAAGTATTGACTTTCTCAAGAATTTTGTTGTACTTTTTGAAGGGCTCTCTATCGGCACCGTCAAAAATGCCCCATGGAAGCCTGTGCAGACGGGGGCTATTCTCAGTACGCTCTCTGTACTTGTGCTGCATGAGTATTTCCTATCATTTTGCAAATTCCGCTTTCTGTTCCTTAGCAGATTTTGTCAAGATGCGCTGGAAAATTTCTTCTCTACTCTTAGAGCTAAGCATTCGATTCCCAGGTTATATGAATTTAGGTGCGCGTTGCGTTCCGCAACGCTAGCACAGTTTCTACACGGTAGTGCTGATGGCAGCTACACTAAGGACGGTGGCTTTTTACTTGCTGGTTTGAGCTCAGACAATGAAGACAGCACCGCACAAACAGATTTAATTCCTGCTGACATTCCTGACATGAATATGTTGGAGCACGAGTCATTTTTGTACTTCGCAGGGTATGTTGTTCACAGTGCTAAGAAGTTAGTAAAAGACTGTGATGCTTGTGTAAGTGCCATGACAGGGAACAAAGACGTTCCGCGACTCACACAGCTGAAATCGTACAAAGAAAAGTTAGCGTTGTGTGTAGCTTCTGAAGCAGTTGTAGAAGTTCTAAAGGTAGCGGAGTCTCACTTTCAAAAAAATAAAGAGCAGCATATCCATAATCATGTTCCTGTATCAGCCACCAAAATTGCTGTTAAAAGTGCGATATCGTGTAATACCTTGTTTCCACACTGTCATAATGTATTGGAGGCTATTCTTTCCGTGTTCTTCTCCGCAAGGATGCACATACAAGTAAGGAAAGAGACATTGGCTCTAAGCGTGCAAATCGACAATAAATGTGGAAGTAAAAGTGTAGGATGAGAGCTGCAGTGGCCAACCTTCCTTAAAAAATAGCAGTGTAGAAAGCGCCCTTGCAGCCAATGTGGCGTGCGTGCCAGGAGAGCTCCTTGGAGAACGCATTTTTATTCTATCTAGCTGCCTGCGCACCTTTCAATAGCCTTGTCAAAATCTTCCCATCTTGCACGTCGTGCGTGCTTGAGAAACTGAAGTACCAAGAGCCATACTGTCCGAGTTCCTTAATGCTGCCATTGTCAACTTGTTGACAACATCCTGACTAGATTTACATTCCTTAAAAAATTTTGTGCTGCCTAGGTTCACAGCACTATCCCACGTGTACCATGCCATTCAAGTAAGCGCAAGTATAAGGACCAAAGCACAACCTGTTTTGGTATGTGATTGCTGTATTTTTCATCGTTTTAGAACATGCTTCCGGCACGGGACAACTCTTAAGGTATCCTTCTGTAGTTTACAATGTAACATGACAGCAAGTCACATAGATGAGCGCGATAGAAATAACCTGTACCTTTCCATCTTCTGCCATGGATGCAGTCATGTACAATGCGAAAATTTTTCGTGCAATGTTTTCATGTACTCATTGCATCCTCTTCAAAACACACATATTACACACAATGCCCAATTTACCTTCCTATAAGCTCGCACGACAAATGAACGAGAGGCACCTTAGGAACATCTCTTTACACAAGGTAATGTTTCATTTCATTTGCACCATGAAGGCATTACCATCACTTGTGCAAATCGTAAGTGCAAAGTGTCCATTGAATACTTGTTCAAACAGTCTAGTTACTCCTCCAAGCATGATGAACATGCCTGTCTCTTATCTGTTATGTAACGTACGACCAAGGTTTTGCGGTAATGTGTGGATATATAAACTGTACTGCTACGTTTATGCCACAGGGCACTTGTATAGCTAGTGGAAACGGTAGCTAACTGTTACAATGCAACTTCCCGTCACTTTGGAAATATCAGTTTTTTTCCAAACGTCACTTCACCATACTGTCCTCTAGGCATACGCACAACGTGGCAACAACTTATCTGCAGTTTACATACACCGTTGAAGTGTTCCTGCCATGCAGACATTCGTGTATAAGTTTGTGGAAATTGTTACTCCAGTGTTTTACTAGATATCTCAAATCCCACAGGTCATTTTTGCAAGTTTTATTGAATGTGCCTTTCACTAGTACGTCATGTGACAACACAAACTGTATTGTAACACGTCTGTGGATGTAGTGTGCATTGTTTAACTTTCATGATCCCATGCTGACATTTGTATGGAAGTCTGCGGAAATGGTTAGTGCAATGCTCTACTGTGTCATCACCTGTATATTTGAAAACACATATTATTGATCCGAAAGTTACTCAGTGAATCTTGCTGTTATACACCTCATGTATATGACAACAAGCTGCAGTGGAAATCGGTTTGTCTGTTCACCTTTATTCATGCCATTAAGGCATTCGTGTCTGTGCAAATTGTCAGTACAGTGTGTTGCTAGGCCATTCATTGTATGTTTCAAAGCACACATGTTCATGTTGAAAAAAATGTAACGGTGAGTCTTCCTCTGGTACCTGTTGTTCAGGCAATGGTCAAGCAATGTTCTGCATTGAATGTCACATGCTGCAATTTTCTTCATAGTTTTATTGTTTACTGACAAATGAAATGTCTTGGTGTGGTTTGCGTGCCTTTGCAACAGCCCAGGACATGCTTGTTTATTCATAGGTGCCTGCTATGAAAATGTTGCCAGAGATTGTAACGAAGTAACAAGAATAAATATTTGTAGTCAACATTGTGCCTCATTGTTCCTTTAACATTCCAGTGTCCTGACTTACATAGGATGTTGAAATAGTGCCGTTGTACGTAGCTCAGTGCATCTATATTGATGCATCAGCGCCCTATTTTTGTCCTTTGCATGAACGAACGCCCCTTCCAGCGTTCTTGTGTTGACGCTGCTTGCGTCCCCTCAATTGAGCGTGCACTTCCACGTTTAATAATTTCATAACCGCTCATTCTATATTTGTGTATGTGTATCAGTTATCATCCCTACCAGTTACATGTGTCGCCTAAGGTTCCTATTTAAGCAACTTTGTTTTATCTGGGTGCCTTAGCCGTACCCATCTGCAGTTTTTTTTTCACAATTTCCACCAGAATAGCAGCATTCGACACTTCGTCTGTCATCTCTAGCTGTCTGTTAACGTTACAGTAACATTTTTTACTTTATTGTTCTTCGGGGGTTGCTCAACTACTTGTCAAGCTTTTGGTTTGCTTTGAAATTAGCCCCACATGTTACCACAGCTACATTGTACTTTGAATATCACGGGAAACAGCTGAACACTGCACAGCTGCTTAAAGTATTAACCAAAAAAGTGGACATATACCTTTGTGGAAAAAGGTTTAGCTATGGGGCTGTCTCTAAGATTATATTCACTAAATGGTAATAAGTGCTCAAGAAATTACACTGGAATTCTAAATATATTGTTCCACTGCGGGCAGGGCAGCAAGATCTAAGGTCCCTAGTTAAAACAAGGAACCTTGGCAAGATCCTTCCATCGCTTTCCTAAGGGGTGGCATAGGGTGGGGGTGCATGCTGGAGGTGAGGTGAGGGCGAAGTGCTGGTCGGTGCTTCTGACTGAAATTACAGCCCGTACTGGCTCGGGTGCACTCTGTAAAGTATTCGGGTGTGCGGGAATGTAGCCACTCCAGCCACTCTGTCGAACGAGTTAACAATGGCGGTTACAAACGGCACAATCCCGTGCACAACAGAGAAGCGCTAGTGGTGCGCCAGCATTTGGTTAACATGCGGGAAGACCAGTGCTACAGCGAGTTTGCTGGAAAAGCCGCGCTCACTATCACGCTTTTCTAATGCCCATCCTTCAGTATTCCAGCACATTTCTGCTACTTGCCGCTGATTGTGGGGCGACGACATCGTCGCAAAGTTCATCACTTCGGGACAGTGAATGCGGCGATGAGTCACAAAGGGTACAACGTGTGTATCTGTTGGCCTCACTCACAAACGTCTCTGTACGCGCACGCTGTAGTGCCGGGACACCCCACTCGTAGAACCCTAACTTGTCGTTAAGTTGCGTGCACCCGCATTGCGGTGCCTCAGTCTATTTCATAGTCACCCAGATAATATAACATGCACCATGATTACCTGGCATCCTGATTGCGAAAGTGGACGTATTTTTTCAGAAAAAGCTGTAATCGCAGTGCTGCTAGTCAAGCGTTCGTTCCAGACTGGCCGCGGTTTTTTCCTGTGTGCTCACAAGCGGCTATGATCACTCGTCACAACGTCACAACAAAGTGCTGCCCTGTGGTAAGTCAGGGACACAGAATCCAGCAAAAAGAACGTTAACTGTGCCACATCACATGCACGAGCAAAACACATTCGGAGAACTGGACGAACTACGACGTACGATGCGAGACGCCATGGCTAATGGTGTGAAATATAGAACTTGCACAACGTTGCCAGTTGGGTAACACACATCACGCTTCTTCTTATGTTGTACCGCTTATTTTCAACTAAGTAACCTTTTATCCTAGGTCTCATTTACTTCTCATTTGGTATAATTGTTTCTATCCGCCGTAGTAACTGAACACAAATGTTCGCTTTTTTATGCACGCTTTGACCCTTCTTGGGGGCCCTTCAGGCTAATAAGCGAGGAGGAAAAGGGAGGGTGTCGCTACCTTCGTTTCATCTAGGGACCTTATCCTAGATGCCAGAGCGGCGCCCCCTGGCATCCTCACATGTCAATCCGAAACCGAAACCCAGAACACAACAGGTTAGGCACAGAAAAAAAGCTACCCTCCCGTCAAATTTGTCGGCCACGTTTTCCAACCTATGCGACATCTTATGCGCAAATAGTGCTACAGCTATTTTCTTATTTTCCAGGCTTTTGTTTTTCTATCTCCGTCCTGAAGCTTCTAGGTCAATGTAATAATCGGTATGTTTCAGTGTTTAAATAATATTTCTTGTCGATATCTAGGAGGCAACACTTAGAAGGCATGGCTAAGTAACACACTACATACCTCACTTCTTGTCTCCAGCGTGAGACGACGTGAAGCGGTAGCCGATTTCATCGTTTATTTGTTGCTGAGAGGACGGTGGGCGAGTAGCAAGCGTGTGTTTGAATGGAAGCGGGTGGTTGCG